GTATATGGACAAAAATGCCCACCCCAGTGTTTTATTTTTTCACATCACCTTATAATTACACCCACCATAAAAAGTGAAAAAAAACATAAAAACTATTTTCTCACCCACCATTATTCCCAAAATAACCCTATATATTAATTCTTCCATTTTTCCTTTGCTTTAAAAGAATATAATTAAAAAATAATTATTACACAGAGAGAGTGGTAGAGGTAGGTAATGGAGTCCTCAGCTGCTTCTTCACTCTCAGTTACAGGCTTACAGCGTCGTCAAATTCCCCTTCCAAACGCATGTTGTTCGACTGCCATTACGCTTGGGTAGTTGACAAATGGAAAGGCCCATCAGAGGAAGCTCTTGCTGGTGGCAAAGGAATATTAATGTTGCAGCAAACTCAGCAGTGAAAGCTTTTGAACACCCATTCCTGCTTTCTCCTCGGCACCATCCCACCAGCACCATCTCCCAAATTCCGGCGAATAGAAACTCTGCAAAATCCTCTGCACTAAAATAGGACTATTGTACTGAATTCTCCTCTCCCAAATTCTAATGAAACCGCTGGCAAACTCGAGTGCGATTTCGAATCCTTCATCTCCTTTTTATTCTTTGCCTTCACCATGGTTTCTTCTTTGAACGCTCGAATGTTTGCAACTGTAATCGATTTCTACAAGTATTTGCCACAATACCTTCACCATTTTCAGGTGGGTCACCGCCGCGATGCCTAACTTAAGAAGTTCAAGTTCGAAACGGTGCTCTCACTGAATCAATTACATTGATTTTATTCCCAATCTTGTTAAGTTGTTTTATTTTTATTTTTTTAATGGTTGGGTTCAGAATCTTTATTGTTTGTTTTGTGTTTTTGTTCATCTGAAAAATGTTGCTGATGTTTGTTTGGACTATTGGTTTGTGAATTTTTAAAGGAAACTTGGCTGGTGTTGTTCTTGGATTTTTGTGGAGCCCTTTGTGGTAAAGATCTCTGGTTTTTGGTTTGCATCCACCATAATTTCAGATTCCTCCAAATTTAATATATGGCAGGTATCCAAATTCCAAATTGTTCCAAAACACCAAATACGATCGGTTTTTAGGATTTTTCTTTTTCTTTTTCTCATTTATGATATTTTAGGTTTTTGTCAATATAATTAATGATGTGGCAAGACATGATTGGTTGGTTATTAGGTCTTTGAAAATCATTTTACATAACAATAAAGTTGTCTATCAAATTATCATTTTAAAGTGTGTGGAGAAATAAAACATTGAGATGGGCTTAGTAGCGCTCTTCTTTTTCCTACTCGATACAGTGAAATTTCGAAATTACCCATGTTGTCCACGCGTCAATCTGCTTCTACAAACTCTTGACTTTCCTTCAATTGTTGTGGATGGAAGAGGATCCGCTCCAGACCTTTGTGTCCGGAGCCTCCTCATCAAGTCATCTCAACCACTAATTGGTGTGAAAGTCAAATCAGAGCCATTGGTTGTGTGGTGGCCAGGAAAATAAATTAATGAAGACTGTTGGATTTAATTTATGCGGGCTAGATGACTTGACGAGGATGTTCGGAGCGGATCCTCTTCCATTGTGGATGGGTCTGCTTCGAGAACTCCACTTCTGTTTCCATCTCACAGAAGTCTGCCGGAGAGCAAAGAAGATCATGTTCAAGCTCAATTGCTCAACTTGTTGCGAGCTCTGAGGCACCTCCACGCCTTCCAATCCACCAGAATCAGTGCGCTTACCACCTGAAATTATGGTTTGTTTATGGGATTATAGGGATTTTACGTGAAGTTAGTCATGAAATTTGGATTCCAGTGAAGTCGGTCGTGATACCAAAACCAAAAAACCTCGAGATTGTTCAAGTTCCGCTGCTATTATGCAGGTAAAGCTTTAGTTTCCATTTAAATTTTTTTACTGTTGAGGTAAGCTCTCTGCTAAAAGCTTCGGCCTAATCGGATAAATAGTCCCCGTGGTCATAAGGTATTCGGAAGGTAACCCCTGTGGTAAAAAAATTCGGATTTAAGCCCCTGTGGTCTAAGTCTATTAGGATTTATACCCAAAATTAAAACTTTCGTTATCCCTCCGTTTGTAATAGTTTCATATGAGGATAAGATGGTCATTTCATAATTAGTAGCATGCCAATAGCTTAGCTATAGAACCCCCTCAAGATCAAACTCGTTCCCAATTCTAAAGCATGAACATACCCAGAAAATTGGTTCGTGTTTGAAAAGCCACATCGATGGCTAAGCGAAGAATTGAGGGAGACATCGCACCAATATACCCAGGTATTGCTGCAATCTTGATAACTTTAGGTGATTGTTCTATTTTGAAAATCGTTTGTTCGTAATGATATCCACCATGTGCGGTATCTAGGGGTGGTTCGGTATGGGATACCATACCGAAACTAGTATCCCGAATCCCAAACCAAAATTTTTCGGGACGGGAATTTGAAGACCAATCCCAAACCAAATTTTCGGGAATCCCAAATTTCGGGAATCCCGAAATATTTTCGGGATTTTGGGACAAATCGGGAATCCCAAATTGAAATATGAAATTATGAATTGTTCTTCAAATATATAATTCAAGAACACATCCCGAATCCCAAACACTGGCATGCCTGACTGTTTTTATCATAGTCAAAATTCAAATTAATTAAACCCTTTTTGCAATATGTTGAGAGACAAAATAATCGAGCCTTCTAAAATCATCAGCCATGGCAGCAGCAATAATAAAATCCACATGAATATCGAACAAAACATGAAAAATATGCAAGGTGTACGGCATTCCAGGTTGCAGAGCATGAATTAGAAACTACTAGCATCAATTATAAAAGAATAATATATATATATATATAATAATTAATATTATGTATTTTTGGTTCGGTATGGGATTCCCAAAATATCGAGAAGCCAATCCCGAATCCCATACCGAAATTTTGGGATCGGTTTGGGATAGCATCCCGAAAATTTAGGGAATTTCGGGTTGGGAAATTTTTGGTTTGGGATTGGGATTTTTTTGGTTCGGTTCGGGATTTTTGGGAATTTTTTCCACCCCTAGCGGTATCCACCATGTGCGGTTTTATGCTTGAAGGTCTCCTCCTTATTATGCTTCAAAGGCTGGAGTTGATGGTTTTTCGTTGGATGAATCATGGGTTATATTTTCTTTTTTCCAGTAGGTCTCCTTCTTAGTGGTATATAGGGGTTTATGTGCAGGGTTTTGAAAGGGAAGAAGGCAACAAAAAGGAAACAAACAAAGCAAACTAGAAGGCAAAAAGCCAATTAGTTGTTTAATAGTAGTAGAACAAATCTTATTGCTTTTTTGGATTCCACATTCCATCACTTGTCTGTTACCTTTGAAATTTGCATTTGATTGATTAAAGTATGCAACTTTATTGTCATATAGTGCACTGCCATTTGATTGATAAAGTATGCAATTTTATTTTAATTATAGGTATTGATAGGTTAACTCTGAAGTTTATATGTGGAGGGCAATTGGTGATATTGCCCAAGCATACATATTTCGGTGGTAAGACAGTGTACTTTGACAATGTAGATCCCGATTTGTTGTCAACGATTGAATTGAAGTACATGATGGAAGAGGTTGGATATACAAATGTGAAGAAATACCATTATACTAAACTCGAAGAGGAGCCCAAACGTGGTTTGCATCCACTAGTTTCTGACAGTGACATAACAGACATGGTGAAGCTTATACCTAGATCAAGGGAGATGACTATTTATGTAGAGCATGATATTGATACACCTCATATTGCTACAGAACCCCCTCAAGATCAAACATCAAATTATTCCAATGTATTCAATGAGATACCAGATGATGTGTTCTCTTAAGTACCAATAGAATTATTCTCTCAAACAACTTATTCACACCCTGATGAAGCAAACAATGAGGAGCAGGTTGGTGTGAATGATAATGTGATTGCTGGTGAGGAAGGTCATGGTCCATATGAAACTTTTGTACAAGAAAGTGGGCAGTGCACTAATGGTTTTCATTACGAGCATGGAACGAATAGTGATGATTCTGATTACGAGCTCTATGACAGTGAGAATGATGCTGCTATAGAAGATGATAATTTCTATTTGATAAATATGTGAACTTGCCATTATCAGGAACTATTACGAGGGATCGTGTAGACAAAACAATTCTACCTAAAAACTTAGCTACTGAGAATCTCCCAACAGAAAAAGAGCTACCAACAAAGGAATTACGGGCTGGTTTGGTATTGCTGTGCTTTGAAAAAAAGCTGCTTATGCTGTGCTGTGAGAATAAGCAGCTGTGAAATAAAGCAGCAAAGTGTTTGGTAAACTTTTTTGTAAAAGTGCTTTTGAAAAAAAAAACAGTATTAGAGTGTTTGGTAAACTTTTATGTAAAACAGATGTGAAAAAAAGCCGGTTTTTCAAAGCTAGGTTTTGCAGCTTCTTGTTTTTGGCTTTTTTTCACCCAAAACTGTGAAAAAAAAGCTGAAGCTGAGTGTTTACCAAACACAAAAACAGCTCCCAGCTTTTTTTGATAGCAGCTTTTTTCAGAATCACCTCAGTACCAAACCAGGTCTACATAGCCCTGTAAATTCAGATGATGAAGAACAATCTAGTGAGAGGTTCAAGATAATAGTCAACCAACCATTACTAGAAGGGTAAGAGGTGCCACATTTACCACAATTCCTAGAGTGGCGATGCCTCAAGGTAGACTTGGAAGTTCAAATCCTATGACTGGAGTATCTCCTCATCCTCCAACCATTACTGAAGGGGCAAAGGGTGCCACATTTACTATAATTCCTAGAGTGGAGATGCCTCAAAGTAGATTTGGAAGCTCAAGTCCTACGACTGGATGGCCTCCTCATCCACCAACCACTTCTAAACAAACTGTTACACCATGGAAACCTCCTGGCCAGAGCTTTGTCAACAAAAATCAAAACCTATGGTAGAAGAGAACCTGATAGTGCTCTTATTTTATTTTGGATACATTGTGTTTTGATACTTTCATATGTGGGAGTCCCTTGTTTTATTTATTTTTTATTTTTTTATTTTTTGCTCTTTTGTAATCGGGTCAAGAAAGTTGAATTTCATAAACGATTGAATGTCTTTTGGTAGTTTGTTGTGCTTATTGATTGGAACCATGTTTATCAATGGTGATTATAAATCGTTGAGAATGAATGGTCATTCATCCCTTCCGTTCAACATTCATGAGAAGTGAATAGCAAAACCAGGCGTTTCGCCCACTTCAAGCAATATGTTGGGTTGCAAACCTCAATCTGCTCGACGACCGCGATCTGACCCTTTTTAGAAAGGGGTCGTCTGTTTGTCAATATGTTGTTAAAATGGAGAGAGAGAGATATTATTGTGAAACTATGATGGGGCTCCTCTGGTTTTGCTAGGTTACCACCCTAACGAAACCTTTCCATCTCCTCTGGTTTTGTTCCTAAACTACAAGGTTTAAATCCAAATTTTTTTTAGCACAAAGATTACCTTCCGAATACCTTATGACCACGGAGGCTATTTTTCCGATTAGGCCAAAAGCTTCTAATTCATCCTTTATTTCTCTTTTCATATGGGCAAATTTTTTGATGGATTTATGTATTTTTTTTTCCTTTGAATTAGAAATCGAATCTGAATTATGGATTCAAAAGAAACAAATTGATGAATTTTCTATTTGCGGGTATGTTGGTCCTGTCATGTGTCACCGCATGATTTGATAATCTGACCGCGAAGCTAATTGTTTATGTGTGCTTTTGGGGTTGCAGACCTGGACCGTTGAAAGGAGACGATGAAAAGCAACTGCAGGAAGGCAGCAATGGAGACCGGGCAGTAGCATATTCAAGTCGATCTGGGTCATCTCATGCCCTTCGACCCTCATCACAGCTTCTCCTCCATCCCCTTCTCCAAGTTATTTTTCTTTACATATTCTATATATCTCTATTTTTTGGTAATGTTGAAAACTTAATTTTGAGAAATATATATTTAATCTTGAAAATGAGGATTTTATTTGATTAATCCCAGCAGTAAAGTTGCAGTCTTTAAGAGAAATAGTGAATTTTTCGCACTATGCTGACAGGTTTTTGTTCAGTGGGTGAAATTCTGATTTGTTTTTTCATGGTATTTAGGGAGGAATTAGTGAAGGAATGTATAACGAAAGGGACCGAGTTGGTTCAAGCTATTGCGAATAGTCTTTTCAACATACCTTCAACTGAAGACATAGACGGTCCCATTGTGCATTTGTCGCTTCCCGAAACTAAACTGCCAAGATAGAAGCATGTAAGCCATTCCTCTTAGTTTACGATTCTCCAACGATGTTTTTGATCATGTATATGAGCGTTTAATAGTGAATAAATGTAAAGTGCTTCACAATTGAAAGAAGTGAAATGGTGGTTTCAGGTAATTGTCGAGATTTTTGTTAATCTCCTTTTGTTGTGCTGCCGATTTACGGTTCCTATCATGGAAATTGGTTGACTAAAATGTTAGTGTATGCAAAAAGGCTGTTGATGCTGCTGGTCTTTTCCACAACCTATTTAAGAGTTGCTATTGTATTCCTAGCATTAACGTCTGACTGCCAATGACATATTCTTTTGTTTTCTACAGCTGCCGGTGCCTCAACCTCCAACAAAATGGGAAACTTTAGCCAAAACAAAAGGTAAATCATTACTGTAGGAGTCAAACTGTACCTTTCTTCTGTTTCTTTTTTCTTTCTTCTTACCCCCTTTAAGGCTCTGTTTTGGTTTCTCATATGTGGCCATTTGGGCATTGAGAAATGTAGTTGGATTTAAGATTTTAAGAAATTGGAATATCGTTTAGGAAAATGACACAATTTGGAATTGAACTTGTCTAATTTGTTATAAGAAAAGTCATAGGTATCCACACTCACCATTTTTAGACTTGTTGTAGGGATTTCCCCTGAGAGATGGTTGTGTGAGACATTGAGAACCTAAAAATTTGTGAGCTGTTCCAAGTCTGAGGGTATCACTCTGAAGAGAGAATTGCTGCTAATGTCTAAGTTGTAACTCAGGAGGAAGTTACCAATCTGTGCCGGTATTTCCCCAGTAAATGGTTCTGGCTCAAGTTTAGAAGCTGCTGTTTTGTCATTTTTTTCGAGCTCAGGTGAGATTGGACCTGAAATTTTATTTCAACCCATACGCATATATGTGATGCTTATGCATTTTCCCACTATGGTGAGAGTGTACCAACAAACTGGTTCTCATTAAGAGCAATGAATTCAAGACTGGGATGAACACCAAATGCATTTATAATGTTCCCGGTAAATTGTTTCCCATCAAACCAGACTCTAGACAATGCCGAACAATTCCTCAAGCACTTGGGCAAATACCGTACGTATTAGATTGTTATTGTTCACTTTGAAACTTGCAAAGCGAATCCGCTACACAACTCCGGTGACAGTTACAAAAACCAAACTCAAAAGCGATTGAAGAGTTTTAAGGAATTCTCACCAAGGTCAAGGTAATGAAGCTTCCTGAGTTCGCCTATTTCAATGGAATTTTTCCTTCAAGGGAATTTTGAGATAGGTCAATATCTTGCAGTCCAGACATTAAACCAATATCTTAAGGGATTTGGCCACTAATGTGTATTTTTCCTTGGTAGACTTTGAAAAGTCTCATCCTTTTGTTGTTATTTTTTCCTTAATATGTATTTGTCCTGTTTGTACGTTTGGTTCAAGTCTGTCTTCGATCGTTGTCATCTGTGAGGATGGTTTCTTATTGTTTGTGTAATGTTTTGCAGGATTCATAGATAATAGGTTTGGTATGGGCTGCCATTCGTGTAACTGTGTAAGACAACTCTCTCTGTTTCATTTAAAATGGTCTACAACGGCATCTATTATTAATGTTGATTGTTGTCCCAATGCCGAATAAATCTGTCTGTTTTTTTGCCATGACTTCTTAGGGTATTTTTCTCAACATATTTTTTTGTCTTTCTTTTTTTTATCTGTGGCTTTCATGCTGAATTATTGCTCTTTGAATTGTTTTGAGGATAACAAATTGCTCAAATTGTTCAAATTTTGTCATTCAATGACCTTTTGTGTGCATTTTTGGTTTGATTCTTATTTAAAATGAATCGAATTGAATATTTATAACCAAAATAATTGATTTTTCTAATTGCCCAAATTGTTCAAATTTGGTAGTTTAGTGTGCTTGTATATGCATTTCTGGTTTGGTTCTTATTTGAAATGAATCGAATTGAATTGAATATTCAGTGAGCTTTTATTTGCATTTTTTGTTTAGTACATTATTTTAGAGTGCTACTAATCTCATCTCATTGTCCTATTTTTCCACCCACCTTTTAATAAAATAATAATAACATGTTTAATTTTCTAGAACGAAACACACAAGTCAATACAAATGTTGCGAACAAAGGTCCAAATACAAATCACACTTTTACAACGAAACACACAAGTCAATACAAGCATAACATGACAAGGAATATGCACTAGTGCCTTCCCAAATTGCACTAGTTTCTGGGATGGCTTTCCATTGAGGCCGCAGCTTGCAGGCTTATACCAAACAATATGAGATCGGCCAGGGAAGCATGGCTGGGCACAGACCTTTGAGGGGAAAACAGAGAATAGTTAGAGCAAGTAAACAAGAAAAATTAGAAATAAGTATACTGTAACGCCAAAGCCAAGATAGCGTGCATCCTGAAAGTAGCGTAGTTTTCGCCATCTAAAATTCTGAACACACCAATGTGATTACCGTGGAATGTGTAGTGTGGTCCAACGGATCAGAATGCCTTCCGGTTTGCTTTCCTGGCTGATATTTCTTCCTTTAAAAGGAAAAACAAAAGGAAGAAGAAAATAACACACAAACACGCAATCGCACACAACCGGAAAACCTTAACACGCCAGGCAATATATGATGATGCATTTTTGGCAGAGAGTCTTGCAATTGTAGCATATACATTTGTATCCGCAATCATCGGCTGGTCCTGTGGAAATATATATTTAGTTGACGATTACAAATAAACACAAACTGTTCAATATGAAATCTGACTGAACAACTATGAATAAGATGAATAAATTTGACGGTTCAAAGTTCAGGAAAAGCTGAAATTAATAAATGCTTAATTATTGAATGAAGTACTTACGGTTTGATCACAATCATTCTCCTTTGAATCACTTGGCATCAGTACATCATCAGTTTCCTCTGTTATTTCTAGTCTTTCTGGTCTTGGATCACTTTGGAGTAACCCATCAGGAGAAATCTTAAACTCGATAAGCTGGCAGTCCTTGACAATCAAAGTCGGTAAGGATGGGACTTTGACAACGCAATTTTCCGTGCAAAATCCTTTCAGACTTGGTAGATCAGAAAGTTTCAAATGTTGCAAGCAACTGAAAGTAATCTCATTTTCTGGATTATCTTCGTTGCTCGCTACTATTTCTACCATTCTTTGACAGGACTCGACTGCCAACTTCTTGAGTTGCTGCAAATTCTTAGCCACAGAACAAGGTATTAAGTATTGCAGTCCGTGACAATCGAATATGTACAAAGTGGTTAGATTTCGAAAGGATATCAATGATGAACTTAGATTCTCTAATCTGCCACATTTCTTCAGGCATAGAAGTTCCAAGTTTGGAAAAACAGGGCCCCCTGGTTGGGAGTTTTCCTTTCCTAGATGTATCAGCTCCGGCATATCGAAGAGCCCCAAAAATTTTACACGTGGGAGGGTCTCAACTTCATGTATTTCCCCTCCACTACTTCCTTGGTGGTCGTGGCCAAATAATTCTTTCCAAGGAGCGGAGAGGACACAGAGTTGTTCAAGATTCTGTAAATTCTCAAAGAAAAAATCTGACTTGGGATGTGAAGTAGCAAAACGAAGTCCTTTTAGTTTTCTCAGCAACTCTGCCGGGAGTGGACCATATGGTTCATACCAAATCTCCGTGTTCTTGTCCAACATCAAGGATTCCAAGTTGAGGAATGACTTACCCTGAAACATAATCAACAATAATGGCATGCTGTAAAGTATTTTGAGAAACTGGATTATTTACTTTTTCCAAAGAAAACTAGTTATGTACAAAGCACATAAAATTTCGTTCATAAAAAAACATTGTGTACAAGGATGTTTACCTTCTCAATTAAAAAGAAAGGTTGTGTCATTGGCCTTGAGTGGCTCAAGTCAAGCTTGTCTTGATATGTTGAAAATTCGGAAGCAAAAATCTCCACACTACCACATTTAATGAAGCTCAATTTGTTGAGTAATGGCCAATTAGAGACATGCAATCCAGGATAGAAACTCCGAAGCCGAGGTAGATTTTCAAATATCACAATTTCTACTTTAGGGAACCCGAACTCCTCATGTGTCCTTTTTGGTCCGTCCCTTGTGACAACTTCCTTCATTAAACCACAATTTTCAACCTTCAACTTGCTTAGCTGCTTAAGAGTTTTGGCCATTGAGACGGGAAAAACATTTTTCAAACTATCACATGAGTCTATCTCAACTGAGTTTAGATTTGGGCACTCAAAACCGTTCAACTGAGTGGTAGCTGATGAGTCATATACCACTTGTAGGGACTGGCATTGCACTATTTGTAATCTCTCTAGAGCATTCAATCTTCCCATGATACTTGGCCCAAAGATATTAATCAGATTGTGGCATCTACGAACATCCATAATTCTGAGCTTGCCAAAAGAATCTGAATGAAGTTGGTTGTGGAATATTCTCTGCAACTTAGGTAAGTCCCATATGTACAACGTCTCCAAGCTAGGAAATCCTACCTGTTACATATTCATTTTAGAACTTGTGAACAAACCTTTCTTCACAAGAGTGGGACGAGTGTATAAGTTGGAAATAAAAGCATAAAGAAAAAGTGAAGGTATGGTTCACCTTTTCATCAAAGAGCTCAATATCTCTTTCTTCTTTGTTGGTTATAATATTTTCACTCTTGGCATCAAAGATGAATGTCTCCAATTTAGTACAATCTTCTAAGTCCAAATACACCAAAGACGGAAATCTAATATAACTTCCTGAGCTGAATCTAATGAGGTTTGGAAGATGTTGTAGCTCTAGACGGTTTAGCTTATCAAACATGTCATCTGTATTCTCTTCATTTCCCACTATCTCTTCCATGATTTGACAGTTGGATATCTTGAGATTTTTGAGTTGTCTGAGACATTTAGCCATAGAACTCGAAAATAAGAATCTTAAACTATCACATTGATGCACAGACAAGGTTGTTAAGTTGGGCATCATAACCTGCATAGCACATAGCAAAATTCATGTTTATCTTAAAAAATTACAATTTACATTGTTGTTAGCCATATATATTTGAAATGTGTAGAAATAAAGTAAATATCATATATTTAAAAAGTAAGCTACTATGCTACTAGACAGATGTAGTCCTTGTACTTTCATTAATTCGCAAAGAACAAATTGAAGTAAAAACTACCTGAAAACAGAAATAAAGGGCCAACGTTATGTCAATCTAATTTCAAATTTAAATTATTTTATTTTCGACCAAAATAACCTATTTTATTTAAATTGATACCAAAAACATTTATACCTAGAATAAGTGTGTCCTCGTTATGACACTGTCCACAAACTTATCCCCAACATAACTCTATCAACTCCCAATAAAATTAAATAAAAATAAAAGCAAAAGTTAAAAAAAAAAAAGCCGCTCGTCCTCCTCCTCTCTCTCTCACTTCCTGAAACACAACAGCAGCAATATCAATTGCATTCGCACTTTAAATCCATAAATCAAAACCCAAAAGCCTCACCCTTCAATTTAATTGCTCCTTCAAACAATAGGGGACTACTAGATTTGGGAGATCTCGATGACGTCATCAAGGGAGATGCTGCCGCTGTGCTTGAAGAGGTGGTAGTCCGTGAGGGAGATGCGGTGAATTGTGGCGTCGGGAAGGAAGGGGAATGGGAAAGGTACCCAGTACGCTGGGCTACTTGTTCAAAATCAACACCAGCCCAATTGGTGTTGGATGCTAGACAATCCTGGCAAAATACTATGTCGGTGGTACTAGCTAGAAGGTTCTGGAGATTCAAATATGCATGGGAGGTGAAAGGTGCATGCATTGGAAATGCCAGATCATTCTAGCACCAAAGTATAACTAGAAGGTTAGTAAAGTGTGAAGCCCATGTCGGTGGGCTGTTTGTAGAAAAGTCTATAACAATGGCTAGGATGCAATGAGTCCATTCCACCAACTTAGTAAGTAAGTTTAGCAAGCCTATAAATATGTAATGGTGTAATGCTAGTAACGAAGTAAGAGTAGCAATCAAGAGAGAGCTAAGTGAGAGTAAGAAGCAAGAGTAGTCTTGTAGTGAGTGGTCTAGAGTTTGCCTTTAAAAAGTGAGAGAATGTCATAACTTCTAAAGTGTGTCATTGAGAGTTGTTCTGTTGTAATATTTTGTAAGTGTAATAACAAGTAATTTGTTTACTTATTTTGTCTCTCCAACACTTGTGCTAGAGTTGTGTACTCTAATTTTTCCTCAACAATTGGTATCAGAGTGGTATGTCAGCAGCGCTTTGCGGAAGTGGAAGATCAATGCAGGGAAGGCCATGTTTGCCCTATAAACCACAGTTGAGGAGGACATGTTAAAGCACATAAGGAAAGCCAAAACACCAAAAGAAGCGTGGGATACCTTGGCCACACTCTTTTCAAAGACGAACAATACAAGATTGCAGCTTCTCGAGATTAGCTGTTATTGATGGCCCAAAGAGACATGACGATTGCCAAATATTTCCACAAGGTAAAGTTTATTTGTCGTGAAATTTCTGAATTAGATTCTAGTGCTGCCATTGTAGAATCCAGGATAAAAAGAATAATTATCCATGGGTTGAGACACGAATATCGAGGCTTTCTTATCGTTGCACAAGGATGGCCGACTCAACCATCACTTGTTGAGTTTCAAAATTTTCTTGTCGATTAAGAATCTTTGGCAAAGCAAATGGGAAAGGTCTCATTAAAAGGTGAGGAGGAAGCGTTCTATACTGAAAGTAAAGGCAGCTTCAAGCAGCGTGCTAGTGGTGGATTTAAAACAAATGGTGACAAGGCGAAAGGTCATCAAGGAGGAGGGAGTTCTTGGCTAGGGGAGCTCCAAGGTATCACGGCAACTATAGTCAGCCCCAAAATAAAAAAAGATTTTAGGGCAATGTTATAATTGTGGAAAGAAGGGCCACATGGCGGAGAATTGCTAGTTCAAAAGGCCTGTAAAAAGTATTGTCGCCAGCTCAAAAGAGAAAAGTGAAGATGACTGGGATATCGTAACGTCTCTAGCCATGAAGGAAGAATATGACACAGAAGCATTATCTTGTTGGTGCTAAGAAAATGACGCATTGCTCGACTTGAAAGAGATTGAAGATACGTTGCAGGAGAAAATGGGATACCAAGCTGCCCAAATACAATCAAGTCTAGATGAGCTTGAGGAATTGCTTGATGATGATGATGTCAAGCAAGAAGTACTTAAGAGTCATTGGCAAACTGGTGTGTATCAACAACCAGAAGAAGTTAGACCTAGTGAAGTGGAAGTATCAACTCCACAATCACAACTAAGGAGGCCAATAAGAATATGAAAGCCAAATCCTAAATATGCCAATGTTGCCATAGCTGATGAAGCAGCAAAAGAACCTGAGACGTTTGAAGAGGCATCACAGAGTTCTGAATGGTTAAAAGCTATAGAAGAAGAAATCACTGCTCTTAAGCAGAATCAGACTTGGGATTTGGTGCCAAAGCTAAGGAATGTGATACCCATATCCTGCAAATGGGTGTACAAGATAAAGCGTCGTCTTGATGGTTCAGTTGAGAGGTACAAGGCTCGGTGGTGGCTCGAGGTTTCTCTCAGTAGTATAGACTAGATTATGATGAAACTTTTAGTCCAGTGGCAAAGTTTACGACCATACGAGTCCTACTTGCACTTGCAGATAACAAAGATTGGAACCTATTCCAGATGGATGTGAAGAACACTTTCTTGCATGGAGAGTTGGATCAAGAGATCTACATGATGTAGCCAATGGGCTTTAAAAGCGAAGCTCATCCCAAGTACGTGTGCAAGCTGAGGAAAGCACTCTATGGTCTAAAACAAGCACCAAGGGCGTGGTACGACAAGATTGCAAAATTTCTAACACAAAGTGGTTACTCAATGGCGCATGCAGATTCCAGCTTATTCCTTATAGCTAATAGAAGTAAGTTAGCCATTGTGCTGGTGTATGTGGATAACCTAATCATCACTGGTGATGATGAGGTAAAAATTCATCGAACAAATGAGAATTTTTCAGTTCGGTTAAAGATGAAAGAACTTGGACAACTCAAGCACTTTCTTGGACTAGAGGTTGATCACACATAAGAAAGTGTGTCAACAAAAGTATGCAAAAGATTTGTTGCAGAAGTTTGGGATGCTTGAATGAAAGCCAATCTCAACACCGATAGAACCTAATGCCAAGATGTATGCATATGAAGGCAGATGTATGCACATAAAGGCAGAGACTTGGAAGATGCAACGATGTATCGACAATTGGTAGGTAATCTGATATACCTGACTCTAACTCGACCTGACATTTCTCATGCAGTTGGTGTGATGAGTCGATACATGCAAAATCCAAAGAAGCCTTATCTAGAAGTGGTTCATCGACTACTGAGATGTGTAAAGAGTACAATTAACTATGGTCCATTGTACAAGAAAGGTAAGGACCGTAAATTAGTTGGCCATTGTGACACATATTTTGCAGGAGATCAACCACTAAGTATGTCTTCATAATTGGTTCTAGAGTACTTTTGTGGTGCAGCAAGAGACAACCAACAATGTCTTTGTCAACCATGGAAGCAGAGTATAGAGCAGCAACAATGGAAACTCAAGAGAATGCATGGCTGGTACAATTGATGAGTGATTTACATTAATCAGTAGATTATGCAGTACCATTGTACTGTGATAACCAATCGGCAATTCACTTGGCAGAAAATCAAGTCTTTCATGCAAAAACTTAGCATGTAGAGGTACACTATCATTTCATTAGAGAAAAGGTCTTGCAAGAAGAGATTGAAATGAGACAGATCAATATGGATGAACAAGTTGCGAACTTGTTCACTAAAGGTTTGAGTACCAGCAAGTTCGAAAAGTTTCATCATCAACTCATCATGGAGAAAAGAATGAGCTGGTGTTAAAGGGAAGTGTTGAAAATCAACATCAGCCTAATTGGTGTTTGGATGCTAGACAACTCTAGCAAAATACTATGTCGGTGGTACTAGCTAGAAGCATATGGAGATTCAAATATGCATGGGAGGTGGAAGGTGCATGCATTGGAAATGCTAGATCATTCTAGCACCAAAGTTTAACTAGAAGTTAGTAAAGTGTGAGGCCCATGTCAGTGGGCTGTTTGTAGAAAAGTCTAGAACAATGGCTAGGATGAAATGAGTCCATTCCACCAACTTAGTAAGTCGGTTTAGCAAGCCTATAAATATGTAATGGTGTAATGCTAGTAACGAAGTAAGAGTAGCAATTAAGAAAGAGCTAAGTGAGAGTAAGAAGCAAGAGTAGTCTTGTAGTGAGTGGTCTAGAGTTTGTCTTTAGAAAGTGAGAGAGTGTTATAGCTTTTAAAGTGTGTCCTTGAGAGTTGTTGTAATATTTTGTGAGTGTAATAACAAGTAATTTGTTTACTTGTTTTGTCTGTTCAATACTTGTGTTAGAGTTGTGTACTCTAATTTTTCCTCCACACTACGCTTTGCTGTTTTTATTTTTTTCTTTATTTTATTTGGAGTTAACTATGTTAATTGAAATTTGAAAATCATGGAAAGAAAAAAATCTTAATATCAAGTTGAACACCATGAGTTATCAAATCCTAAAAATAAAAATAAAAAAACCGTGGGTTATCAAAACTTGATAACTTAATATATCATTTAAACGGTTTTGGCTTATTGAAAAAAAAAATGAAAGAATTATATGGTCGAAATTCGAAGAAGTAAAGTATAGTGAGAAATAATCACGCGACCATTTTGCTAAAAAAAATAACAGAGAAAGCACCTTCTCATTACCGAAAAGTTTCGGTGGTCCACCAACTTCATCCTCCAACACGATTTTGTTGGCTTCTGTGTCAGTCGCTAATTGCTTGTCTTTGGAAGAGAAACCAATAAGCTTTGGTAGATTCCGCAGTGTCAACGATTTTAACTTTTGGAAGGGCTCGCCTTTGAGTTGTCCATAACATACACTTTCCAACCTCACAAGGTCTTCAAGAAATAGAGATTCTAGGTTGGGGAAGGCATTATGAGAGTAACTCCAACTGATGGAGTTAATGACATATGTAACTTCGTCGTTGTTTTGGACATGGAGATGCTTCAGTTGTTTAGCAGCTTCACTGTCAAATAGATAGGAAATAATATTCACACTCTCCTTCCCATCCAAGTACAACTGCTCACATCTCTTTACTAGCAACTTTACACCTCGGTCGAATTGATTTCTTCTGGTGAGCTTCAGTTTTAGCATGTTAGACAAGGTTTCGTTGATGTCAAGATATTCCCAACAGTCACCAATAAGTATGGTGTATCTTTCTAACTTATCAGAGAACAAGTTGGTTGGAAGAAGGTTAGCATCTAGAACATGTATGTCCAATGCGGATAGATGAGATAAGTGCTCCAGCTCTGAAACGCTAGCATTACTTCTTCTGCCATCGACTAAACCTTCACCTTCCCATTGCGTGAAGCTTTTTATTCCCATCCTCAAGTCTTCTAGTCTTGTCAAGCTTGATATAACATCAGGTGGGATCAAAACAAGTTCGGAGCAACCGGTCAACTCCAATAATTGTAGCCTTGTCAATTGCCCTATTTCTTTGGGCAACTCTTTAATCTTGGATTGTAGGAGGCTAAGGATCTTCAAGTTTGTTAGCTGCGCAACAATAGTTATGTCTACCAACTCGCTTGAAGCTAAATACAATGTGTGGAGAAGCTTTAGGGATTGAAAAGACGAAGGTAGTGACGGAATACGGAAACTGGTTACATCCAACACTTTGAGTTCTTTCATCCCTTCAAAAAATTTGCTTGGGATTTCCTGGGAGTCGCCAATACTATCATTCACCAAGACCAAAAATTTTAATTCTGGGCATTCCCAAGGTACTTCAGGAAGTCGGGGGATTTTGCAACTTTCTACGAAGATCCATGTGCATTTTTTAAGGAAACCCTCAGTTGGCCATTCTTTCAACTCATCTTCATATGTTCTTGAAAAGGCCTTTTGATCATCAGATGCAATCCGGATAGCAACATCTTTTACAAGTTCATGCATTCTAACAGTTGTATCGTCATAGTTGTCCTGCAATAGGCAAGAATTTTTCAATTTTTTAACCATTACATTGAATGAAGTCCGTGCCTCTTCCACTGTCTCAACATTTTTTATCAAACCCAAACCCATACTATACTTGAACAAGTCAAGCAGAAAATTACTGCTACCCCCGCAAAGCAAGAACAATTGCTTAAGCTCTTGATCCTCCAATTGTTCGTAACTCCACTTTAGAGCCAAGAATGCTTTTTCATTCAATTCTTTCTTGTCAAATCTTTTGAAACTTCTCAACGCATCTTTCCATTCCTCCAAACTACTATCCCTTAAAGCACTTGCAACTGCAACAACCAAAACCGGCAAACCTCCGCATTTCTTTGCTAGCTGGGTTGCTTCCTTCAGTATACGGTTGTCTTTAACAACATCACCTGCCATCTTCTCAAACAAACTCCAACTTTCTTGTTCTCTTAAAAATCCAAGTTCAAAATTGTTTTGCATACGCATATCATAGAATAAAACTTTTCTTTCTCTAGATGTCAAGAATAAATTACAGTTCGGCACACCGACAAGTCCTACAGCCTCAAAGTCAATTCTTTCCAAAACATCATCTAAAATAACAAGAGTCTTCCCATCTTTTATCCTGGCTCGTAGGAGATTCGCCCTTTTTCCCATATCCTCAGATTCATCAACATCCATCCCCAACCTTTTGGTAATTTCCTTTTGAATTTTTTCATCGTCTTTTTTTTCTTTGACATTTAGTATTATAACCACATCATCAAATAAGTTCTCTTTCACAGCTTCTCTGTAAACCTCTTTGGCAAGTGTTGTCTTCCCAACGCCCCCTAATCCGTACACCCCAATCCTGTTGATATCAGGTTTTTTCAGTTCTATAATGATATCCTTCACCATAGAAATCCTTGATTCAAAGGCCATGTACCCGTCAGAGGCTATGGCAGATATGTCTTCTACGGGAGCTTCGTAAGCAACACTGGAAAACTCTTTTTTTTTATTTTCATGTTCTTCAATCTTTTTCATCAGTTTTGTTGCCTTCCTGCTACGTTGATGACAGGATATCAGATTAGAACATATAATGAGACACTTTGTCTTTGCACGACCTTCATCATGCAAGAGTGCTTCTGCCTCCAGAGTGGTCTTCTCCGCATCTGACTGCCATTTCTGGACATCAGCTTCCACTTTTTGATTAACTTTTCTTCCGACTTCATCAATTTCATGCTTCATCCTCTGTTTGACAGAATCAAAATTCTCCAATTTACTCTTTAGATCTTCAAGGTTGCTTTTGTAGAAAATGATATAACCCACTTGGCGGGCAACTGGTCTAATTGTGTAGTCAATTATTGTAGGAATAATTGCAGTGAGTATCTCCATCGCCATGGCACCTTCAGCTTATCAATTCGTCTGCTTCTCCGATCTGTTGAATATATACAAATCCAAAATAAAAAAATTCAAGATACGAGAAAGAAATCCTTACTTTTAAAGCAGATGAATTAAAGAATGAAACAATAGGTCATACCTTAGCTCATGATCGAGACTACGCTTGAAGAAAAACAGAGCAGTATGCAAATCTTTTGGTTTTCTTTTGCATCTTTTGGAGAAATCTGCATAGTAAAAGCAAAAACAAGGTTATATCACACTTCCAAAAAACTTGGTTGGTACAGAACTTAGGTGACTGTTTTCAAATCTTAGAAACTAAGAAAACGTATATAATCTGCTTTGAATTACACTGAGACATTTTAACAAACACCATATCTGCACACTTTAAGCCGGTGCATGAGGCAGAAAACGAACTGTAGAGGAAAACTGAGGACAACTTGATCATTCTTCAGGAGACGACAAGTTCAACGAACAGAGGTGCGGAAGAGCAAGAAAGGCTCAAGCTTTTCTCAACTTGGTTTTCTTCATTTTATTATGCATTTAGTGACAACTTCAATTATGTTTCAAAATTCATTTCTTTTCCCTAGAGCTACGAAGTAGCCTAATCATGATTGCTTTATTCCTTAGTTTCATTATTTATGAATTTCAGTCTTATTGAGTTTATTTTGTTGTGGATTATACGCTTGATTTTTATCTTGTTGATTAGCTACAAACTTTGTTTGTCAAGTTTATATAACGCAAATTTAAGTATGTGCCAATTCAAAGTTTCTTGCAGTTAAAGTTATGAAATCTTTGATATAGAGGTTATACACTAAGTTTCATGCGGTCTCCTTGTTAGTGTCCAAATCGTTAATGATTTTTTTTTGTGTTTAGTAATCTACATGTCATAGATTCTTAGCACATAAGAGTATACCTAGTAATCTAGATGCCATGAATACTATATGATTTAAAGGAATTAGATCATTGATGATTATTCATTAATAATTTACTGCTAGAAATAGGTTGGATTGGTTATGGTGAAATCGAATGCTCTAGTAACTCACTCATCTCGTTCACAATTTGTTTCTATTTGCATCTCTATTCCTTTAGTCTTATTTGTCTTGTTATTCTTCAGTTTTTTTTAATCAAGAACTCAATCCTCGCAATTCTTTCTTATAATCAATGTTACTTTTAATTCAAGTGCAATTCAATTTAAGTTAGGCAATTAGAATTGACTCGATCTCAGTTGGAACGAGGTTGTGTTTGCCTATTATATTATACTACGATTCGTACATTTGCAAGCATTAAAATTTGAACTTAATTGGGTTGGTTTCAGTAAATCTAAATTCGGCAACAAAGATCAATTTTTTTGTCTTAAAATAGTAAAGATCAATTAAATTCTAATTGCACAGTTTCTAAATTTTTTCAAAGGGTTGGTTGGATCTGTCAAAGCTTAGAAGTGCGCTATCTGAGAATATGGTGCAGAAAACCATTAGTTGGCCTACTGGTAACCTTGGTGTGAGAAGGGACAAACTTTCACTCATTTGAAATGGCATTTCGAATGGTGTTTTCTTTGTGAAGACTTCTTATGGTCTCTTATTTCAAAGAGAGTCTTGGATGATTGGTCCCTAATGAAAACCGGGCTACGAAGTGTTTGACCTCTAATCCTTCATGCAATTTTTGTTCTTGGCATGTTGAATCTATTCTCCATATTCTCAGGAATTGTTAGAAGACCGAATATGTTTGGCTGCTTCTTAGTGTGCCTTGTTATGTGATAAACTCTTTTGATTTGAACATTCAAGCTTGGTTGCTTGCTAATCTTAAGGTGCATATAAGGTTATCAACCAAAGTTCTTTGTGCATTGTATTCCTCTTTATTTGTTGGCATATTTTGAAATGGAGAAATCAACAAAAAAATTTATACTAATTATGTTATGCCAAGGGATCCTTAAGATATTTTAGTAAGGGATGCTGCTGAATGGGTGAAGGCGTCCTCAAAAGCTTCTGTGAAGCCAACTAGGATGGTGCAAGATTAATATTGATGGTTAAGAAGAATGACTTCTAGGCAAATTGGGGATGATTGAGTTCTTAGAGATCAATGTGGTGATTGGTTAGGGAGTTTTCTGCTAATTTGGGGCAGGGACAAGTTATGGAGGTAGAGGTTTAGAGTTTTTATTTTGGCCTTAAGCTTGCTTTAACAAAGGCGTATATAGGCTTATTATTAAGATGAATTCAGTGGGTGGAATCAACTTGATTAAGCAAAATATGGCAAATGATTTTCATCCTCACCATACAATTTTGAGGAGCTACTGAAATATGAAGGATCAGCTGAAGCGTCATCAGTTGGTTCATATTTTCAAAGAAAAGAATTTTGTTGAGATGATGTTGATGGATGATTGCTTAGGATCTTCAAGGCTTGTTTTTTCTGTTCGAATGACGTTTCCTATTTCTTACATTTATAACGACGCGCTACCGCGGGCGCCAGCGCTGGTTGAAGTTTTTGTTAGGGATCCATTAAATAGTTATTTCTGAAGCCATTGAATTTAAAGTCAATCAATTTTCCGAACATTGAGAATTCATTTGGTTTTGAAATTAGTCACGGACTTCAAGGTTCATTGGCCAAGACCTAAATGTGATAAATTTTTCATTGTGCCTGAAACACGGATGGTACATCACAACTTGTTATATAAGTGGTGAGAAATGTTATTTTTTAAGTTGTTAATTTTTTAACGTAAGTATTTCACTATTTGTATAATAACACATGATGTATCACCTGTATTTCGAGTACACTGAAAAATTTCTCTTAGCCGGTTATAGAGGGAAAAGAGATTGTTGAGTGTGTTGCTAGAGTGTCTGAAATAGTCTCTTTAAATAAGCTTTTAACAACCACTTAGTATTATGATCTAATGTTATTCTTCTTCACTTATAAGTGAGACGTTTTAGTTTCGATTTTTTTCAAAAAAGAATTTGAGCCACATTATTGTTAGCCCATTGTGAGGTTTAACCTATTTTTCACCTCTCTTGGACACCCACATAGAATTTTTTTTTTTTTTTAGTACATTGATATTTTTACACTAGGAGGAGGGGGAGTTCGATTAAGCCACACAATGGGCAGCCTAATTTGGTATCGAATTCACCATTCACGAGATTCGAACCTAAAACCTCTCACTTCCAAATGAAGGTACTGAGTGACTAATCCCAACAATAATTAGCAATAACTTTTTGCACCTAATTCGCTCCCAGCTCGCAACATGTGTTTACATCTCTCTTTCTATTGTTTTAATTCCTTTTTTAAGTGAGCTTCAATAGGTTTTTAAAACTAAAAGTTGAAATCAACGTTGGAGAGATAGACAAAAGGTGAGTGAAGTTGAACTCAACGTTTTACTTGATGAACACATTTCTTTGTATAAAAATCCTAGTGGGTGTTCAATTTGGGTGTATAGGAATTAAGTTGAGTGTAGTCAAATTAGGATTTGCGTCTCCTTCTCCAGATGGGTTATGACCCTTCCACATATCAGTGAGTGGGCTTTTGGTTTTCCGTATATACCTATATACTTGTTGTTTTTCCCAGAAAATGAAATGGAATGTTTATATGTGTTTAAATGCCATGCATAGCATTTGCCTATTTATTTATGCATTAGTAGTTGCATATATGTATGTTTGGTGCTGCGGACGCACAGGTAAGTGCCAGGTAAGTTTATGGTTTATGATTGTGAATTCGTGGTTATGTGAGATGCATAGAGATCTCATAACCTGCACTCCCGATGTTAGTGTTCCCGCCCAGAGTAGGGCATAGTCCTTCACGTGATGTTCACCTCCCGCACCACACGCTCATCTTGGATCCAAGTTAGGTGCACAGTCTTGTCGTACAGACCACTATAGGTGGTTCCGACTCGTAGGTGACCCGCGATTATTCACCCAGTCTTCACATGATCGTAGCACTTGAGCGTATTTATTTACACCCAGTCCTGTCGTACAGACCACTTTAGGTGGTTCCGACTCGTGTGCAAGTTTAATTAGTGAGTTGGGGATTTGAGCTTTAGATTCAGCCGTACAGGTCACGTTAGGTGACTCCGGCTGACATATTACTTGCATTGATTGACATTACCTGGGTTACTTACATTTTATGTGGAGGCATTTGACATGACATATTTCTGAGCATGTTTTCGATATATGTGTATATTCTATTTTCTGGGAAACTATACAGGTTTTACGGCGAGGGGTTAAAACTTTTGATAATGATATGATTTTGAAAAGTTTTGTTTTTGCCCACTCACACTTTCTGTTTTGCGCCCCTCCAAGTTCTAGTTTGGTTTGCTCTTTTGGTGGCTTACGAGGAATCCACAGCATATTTGACAAATTATCACCAGTGTAGGACCACATCTGGGTGTGTTTAGTTAGTGTTTGTTCCTCTGGACTGCAATAGGATTTCTGTGCTCTGAATATTCTTTTTCACACTTACACTTGCACTTGTACGTTAACTACATTGTTTAGTAGTTTGGTTTTTATTTATTCGTACTTTTATTATTATCTTAGCTTCCACACTGTGCACATGGCTATGTCACCCTCACATGACGACCAGCACGCCTTGATTTCGGTCGGGTGTGTCACCATTAGTATCATGTGCAACTTGCAAGGTTATAAGGTTGACACTTGCTTTATGCTAAAATTGCTTTCACAAATACATTTTAACAAATTCATATTTGAATTTATTAATTTTGTTTAACTTCCTCCAATTATATCCTTATAAATGTACCTAAATGAGAAAACATTGCAAAAATATAATAATGACACCTAAGAAACATGTAAATATATAACTGTACCGAAAATATACTAAAAGGAATTGATGTACCTAAATATCTGTACTGAAATCTAAGATGTACCTAAATGTTTGTACTGAAATGTATTATATTAAATTAAGGTACTTAAATGTTCGTACCGAAATGACTATACTAAGATATATTAAATGAATTAATCTACCTTGGTTATCGCACTTTCTAGGTTAAGCTACATGCCAGGCTCCAATGAAGGGCCTCCACCTCCTCCTACATTCAAATACATAAAATAAAGATGATCATATAAAATGTGAAATATTTGATAGGATCCATTTTGGAAACGTAGAATACCGAAAATATATTAAAATGAATTGATGTATCTAAATATCTATACTGAAATATAAGATGTATCTAAATATTTGTATCGAAATGTATTATAATAAATTAATGTACCTGAATGTATGTATCAAAATGACTATATTAAAATATATTAAAGGAATTAATTTACATAAATGCAGAACTCAAAGTGTATTGAAATATAGTTTACTAAATAACTATAACAAAATAAAATATCAGAATATAATTAAATGTAGAAGAAAAAGAAAAATAATATAATTATGAGGTTACTAAATGTACCAATGGACTAAATTTGATTTTAATCTTACAAAAGATTTTAGTTTAAAAGTTATATTTTTGAAGGATTAGAATGCAATTTTGTATTTTAAATATGTTACTGTTGGTATTATGTGTGACTTGTGGAAACTTATGTATATGAACCTGAAGTTCGTAGACTTTTGATCAAAGATTGTAGGGTTGAGGACCCTAGGGACACCGCTTTAACCAAAGGGTTGACTATCTATCAGCTTTCCCCATAGCATCCTAGCATGTCATAGCCAACATATAGAATTCAGATTTGACAGTTGTTCGACTTGATCTCAACTCGACTGGTAAAGCAATAATATAGGTTAAACAAAACGAACAAATTCACACAAACAACTAAAAAAACTCATAAAGAGCAAAGGAATGAAACAAAAGACAAGGTAAAATCAAAAGACGTACCTCCTTATATCTTGTCTCTCCAGATTCCTTTGCCTACAGAACACTGGAGCACAAGCTGTCTGTTTATAAAGCTGAATTGAGTATGAATGCCTTTTTTCGCTAATAAAGCCGAGGGATGGGAAATTGAAATTGTCAGAAAATAAAATCAAGAGGCACAGGAAACAACGAAATCGATAGAACGTAATTTTTTTTTTTTTTTTTTTTTTTTTGGCTTTTGATTTTGGGATTCAAATTTTCAATTTTGTAAGTAAAGAAAAGTAAATTAAGCAAAAGAAGGTTGCTGTGATAAAGAAACCAAAACCAGACAAGTGTCTGTAATTAGAAGATGGAGCAAATAATGAGATGGCCAATGGCAAGAACAACTTTCTTAGCAGAAGAAGATGAGACAAATAATGCATGAGAGAGATAACGTGGTGTGATAGAGAAATGCAATTAAAAAAGACTGAACTTGTGGACTTATTCTGGTATTTGGTAGGTTAGAAATGGCTATATTAATTGACGTCAATTAAATTATAACTTAAATTTTCATGGCAATTATTTAGCACTTTGGAGTGGGAATCTACGCCAACTCCTAAATTAACAATATTTTCTCGTATTATAATATTAATCAGGTGACGTTCTGCATAAAGAAAACCTCACAGCAAGACTATGGAGAAGGGCGGGCCATCGTAGTATCGAATTAAAAAAGACTAAAGCGAGGACTTATTCTGGCATTTGATTCCTCGATGAAATTGTACTGGCTGTATTAGCTATGAAAATAATTTTATGTTATTCTACTATGTTGGGGTTTTAAATCTGAATCAAGTAACCACTTGATCAGTAAGCCTTTTAAGTTGATCAGTAAGCTTTAGGAGGTCGCATGATCACTTGATCAGTAAGCCTTTGTTAGCTATCCACTAATTACTGAATTTTCAGTTAATATATCAATAATCAGCCTAATGCTGTCTTTTATTGGTTTAGTTTTTCAGTTACGCTTTTAATTAAGTTGTTCCAATTGTGTATATATCGAAACTTGGATGTTTTTTGTGCGCTTGTGCATCTACCGAGCCAGATAATTACTGAAAGTTATTCAATTGTGTCATCAATTTCTTTCTATCAAATGTTATGAAATCCTTACTGGATTCGTTTATTTAATTGAGTGAGATGATTTAATAATAGTAATGTATGTTTAGGATCATAACTTAGTTAACAAATAACTAATGAATTAAAAACTCAAACGCTATCATACTATGAAATACCTTGTCAAATACTTAACATAAGCAAGCACATTATACACTAATACCATTCAGTCTGAGTGGCACTCAATCTCGATATTGTTGGACGTCCTAAGCTTACATGTTCATGGTTGACAATGGTCAATTAATTGAAAGAAAAGGTAAGAAAATGACACTTTTAGGGGCACCATTAGTATCATCTACAACTTGCAAGGTTATAAGGTTGACACTTGCTTTATGCTAAAATCGCTTTTACAAATACATTTTACCAAACACCTAACGCATGTTAATCTCTCCATTGCCCCATATATGTTCATATTTCAAACACAAAATGTGAAAATTGAAGTAAAATTGAAATGATTATCAACATGCGCTTAGAGATTATTTGCGTAAAATTAAGCTTAATCATATTTCATCAATGTGGAGGGCAAGGGTAATTAATTATTAACTCTAAAAAGTAATTTCCCTTGTGCAAGTCCACCTATTTGGAAGAAGGAAGAGCAAGAACAAGGGCGTTACTATTCACAAATATATATATATATATATATATATTTTAATGTTTCTTCGTCTTATTCCCATATGTCATTATCGCCGTAGATTTTTGTTTAATTTACAAGTGTTATGAACTTTGTAAGATTTTTGAAGTGTTAATTTTGTAAGTTTTTTAAATTTTCTAATAATTTTTCTAGTTGGTAATTTTTTAGATTTTTTTTTCAATTTTTTAGGGTTGGATTAGTCCTTGCCATTGAAATTTTCAATTTTTAAAATTTGACGCGCAAAAAAGCGCCATGTGGTGCAGCCCTAAATTTTTTATTTTTTTATTTTTTTAACCGTTGGAATCCAACGGCTGTTGTTGCCTCAAATTTGAGTCGTTCGGCTCCGTTGGCCCCCCTCTGTCTGCTACATTTCCTGGCCCAAGCCCCTGCAATAATTGGTGGGGCAGCTACTTTTCTACCAATTGCCCCATGTTTTTCAAACCCTTGGAGTTGATTTCAAAACCCATAGGCAGTTTCACCTAATTCACAGGACAATCCTACCACTGGTGGAGATTCTCTTATAAAGGTAGGGGTGGACGTTGGAATCGAAAATCGAAATCGAAACATGAACTAAATCGAACCGCGCCAAACAGTTTTGAAATGGTTGCAGTTTTGAAATTACACCGCAGTGTAGGAAAACGTTTTGGTTTCGGTTTTAACTTTTGAAAACCGCACGGAAGCTCATACCACACTTCAAATTAAATGTCATTTTTAATTGGTTGTTTGGTAAAGTCCATACATTTAGTATGGACTCAACCACACTAGAATATCACATTTCTTTTGTCTTCGACAGTCTGCTCAGAGGCAGCTCTCGCCTCTCGGTTTCAATTCTTATCACTCATCAGTCTCTCTCTCTCTCAAAATTCATCTGATTCATCTGTTTTGGCAATTGACCATTTCAACTTTATAATGTTGTTGATTGCTGATAACGGGCATTTTGTATTTTGGAGACTGCATTTTATTAACTGTGATGTGTAAGTTTACGATCCAAAACCCATTGATGACATTAGTAGAATGCATCAATGCAAGCTCTATAGAATTATTTTGTTGTGGATGGCTGGATGTGAATTTTGAATGCAAAGTGCAAATTGTATAAAACGCAGGATGATAAGTATTTTCTAGTAGCAGCTTTGGATTATATTAAATGAACATCTTTGGTTTAAATTCTTGTACATCATAAATATCTTGCTATGGCTTCATCATTGAGTTGGCTTGGGCCGTCATGTTCGGATGGGGCCATACGGTCAATTTAGTGTCGACCAACACATTACAACCTCGAAACTTGTGTTATTGAGGTCGGAGTGTGTCACTTATGCAACATTAAATCTTGACGTCACATAGATCAAATGATGATAAATGCGCTTAAGTTATAAATCTAATCAAATAGGGCTGCATTTTGTTCGTTCTCTGGAGCTGCATTCCCTTCCCCAGACGAAGCCGACTGCATCCATAGAAACCCAGCTCCTCAATGATCCCCAAATGCATCCCTTTCCAAACTTACCTAAGTCTACCCCACTTTATTCTTATCCCTTTCCCATCCCAGATAATTTTTCTACTTTCTTCATCCAGTAATCTCTTGTTTGACTTCTGACTTTCACTCTCTTTCACTCCTATTTCTTCTATTCCATTGATTAAAACTTTTTTTCTTTTGCAATTTTTTTATCAAGGTCCTCAGGTTTTAATAAACGTCATTATTTCAATAATAAAATGTTTACATAACAGCATAATTAAATTTTATTTCGAAAATATATTCATTTAGTGTTAAAAACGTTACATTCGATAAATTTATATTCAAATATTTATATTTTTAATTTGTGCCCAATTTTAATTTGCAACCTTTTTTTTATTTTATTTTATTTTATTTTTACTAATTTTCTTTTTAGTTTTAATTGGACACATATATTAATTTATTTTTGTGCCCATATTTTTTAAAACTTCATTTGTACTCATTTTGTGACAGCCTGCTCCGAAAATTTTAAAACGTACGCGTGAAAAGACGATTTTGCCCTTAATGTGATCGTTGTGTGGTTGTTTTTGAGATTGGTGTGGCTGGTTGTGGACCACAAACTCACCCTCACCATTTCTGCCCTGCACCCCCTGTCCCGAGCCCTCTCTCTCCCATTTTCCCCCTCCATGTGTATGGACACACCCCAAAACCCTTGTAATCTTCACAGATCGAAGAAACAAATTACATATCCATGCTCGTAAGGTCCGTAGGAGTTCAACCATACCCATTTCAGGTAAGGATACCTTCGTTTTCACGTCGAACTCGGGATACCCGATTTTTGGCACTGTTCATGCACACGTAAATTCTTATGTTTTTGGGAATTTCAAGCTTGTAGGAAGCTTGGTGAGGTCCTTAAGAGGCTCGGGGTGGTTCGTTTGAAGGTTTTGGACGTCGGGATCGCGAGTTTCGAGGTTGGCCGGAGTTTGGGGTATTTTCCCAGCAAGATTTCGTGGATTTTAGCACTTGAGAGTGGTATGATTTTGTTCCTCTCGTTGTAAGCTTCATTTTGGTACCAATTTTGTGAAATTTGATTGAAAAACAAAGAAGATAGGACGATTTGAAGTTTTTTCCGATTTTCCGGCGGCGGCGACGGCGCCGGAGCCTCGCCGGAGAAGACGACAGAATATTCCGTCAGTTTGGACGGAATATTCCTAACGCCGTTGACAGAATCCGTTAAAGTTAACGGAATATTCCTGACGGCGTTAACTGACGCCGTCAGCGTGCCAGGCATGTGCCTGCGTGTGGTCGGGGCGTGCGGCAGTGAAATTTTTTTCTAAAAATATGGGGATGTTCCTGAGGTTGAGTAGATCACATTGGTGTATTCATACACCCCATTTGAGCATTGTATGAGAAGTTATTTCATAAGGTTGGTTATGTGCTTTAAAATTAACGTTTTTATAGTTGTTTCGCATATAGGTGATACTTACCCCGAGGACGAGCATGGTCACTCGAGGCTAGGGGGTTACGACCCTTCCACACACCAGTGAGTGGGCTTTTGGTTTTCCGTATATACCTATATACTTATACTTTTCCAAGAAATTAATTTAGAACGTTTATTCATTTATATGCCATGCCTATAGTTTGCCATTGTTTATGCATTGTTAATTGGATATATATATATATATATATAATATATATATATATATATTATATATATGTATGTTTGGTGCTGCGGACGCACAGGTAAGTGCCAGGTGAGTATGATTTATGTGTTACATTCAGTAGTGATTTGAGATGCATAGAGAGCTCATAACCTGCACCCCCGGTGTTGGTGCTCCCGCCCAGAGTTGGGCACAGTCCTTCACGTGATGTTCACCTCCCGCACCACACGCTCATCTTGGATCCAAATTAGGTGCACAATCCTGTCGTACAGACCACTTTAGGTGGTTCCGACTTGTAGGTGACCCGCGATTATTCGCCCAGCCTTCACATGATTGTAGCACTTGAGCGTACTTATATTACACCCTGGCTTGTCGTACAGACCACTTTAGGTGGTTCCGACTCATGTGCAGGTCTAGCTAGTGAGATGGAGATTTGAGCTCTAGATTCAGCCGTACAGGTCATGTTAGGTGACTCCGGCTGACAAATTATATGATATTGTTGCGATATTACCTGAGCACTTGCATTTTACTTTGAGGTTTTGGCATAGCCTATTTTCCGAGCATGAGTTATATATATGTATATTATATTTTCTGGGAAGTATACAGGTTTTACGGCGAGG